CCAAGCTAAAACACCAAAGAGCCACCAGAATCCACAGAGTCATCCGAGTCCTCAACAGTGGCAGGAGCAGGCTGAGTATCTCCAGCAGCAGCAGCAGCAGCAGCAGCAGCAGCAGCAGGAGTCGAAGTGGATGGGATGCGGCTCAAAAGATGCTGAATATACTCCTCCTTGGCAGCCAGCTGATCTCTGAGAGAGGCATTCTCAGAGGAAGACGACACAGAAGTGAGAAAGGTTCTAGAAACTTTCTGGCTAAGGGCAGCAGAGGCCTTGCCATAAGGAGCAATGGGAGGATGCCACTGATCGGAATCATGAAATACCACCCCATTTTTTCTCACAAAGGCTAGGCGCTGAATCAGACAAGGAAACACAAGAGTCCCCTTGTGCTTGGTACCATGACCAATGGTTTTTCCAAGAATGGCATTATAAAGGATATCACCAAGGGGAATTTTATCATGATTCACCATGGAAATCATGAGTTGACAGGCAGCAAGAGTGGGATTAGAATTGTTCCCAGTGGGGAGAACATTGTGACGGATAAAGGCCCACAAAAATTTATAAAAAGGTGACAGGTAAGACTTGATAGGCAGACCTTTAGAAGTCAAAGGCATGGATTGATCAGTGTATGCCATAGATTTAAAAAGATCAATAGAGTAATCAGCAGAAGCAAGAGCAAATTTTGCATAATCAAAACCAGGGCACGATCGAAAACCTAAGACCCGATTGATAACAGATGGTCTCAGAGTAATGGGGACTGACCTAACAATAATCTGAAACTTTGACTCCTTAGGGTCAACAGGAAAGTTAGAGTAAAACTCTTGAATTACAGAGGCATTAAACTTACCAGAGAGAGAGTTTAGGGCATGAAGGTGGTAGTGCTCCAAAATTTGATTTGCAAACTCCTGAGCCGCCAAAGGAACAGCATCAAACTGGTAAGACCTCTCAGGAACAAATTTCCTTTTGGAGACAACTTCATCAAAGAAGGAGGCAGCCTCAGAAGACACAAATGGAGAGGAATCTCCAACATGAACAGAGGAAGAGGGACGGGTTCTAGGAGCCCTAGGAATTGAGGGAATGAAATCCACTCTTTCAGTGGATTTGGATTTGGAATGACGGTGGTAAGTGAGGAGAGGCTTTGAGGAAGACATGGCTAGCAGCGGGAATGAATTTCGAAGAGAAAACAAAATGGAAGAAGGGGCGAAGAGACTAGAACAAAGTGAGAGGGAGAGAAAATTCTGAAATGGAGACGAAGTCGAGACTGACGAGAACAGAGAGAGAGATAAGAGGCAAACGAAACTGAGGAAGAAGAGGAAAATAAAAGACCTAAAAAGGAAAAAGACGCAAAGGACACGACCCAAAAAAGAACGGCTCAAAACCAAAAATGGAAAAAATAATAATAACCACCAAAACGAAAAATGAAAAAGACGCATCGGTAAGCGGATGACTAGTCAATCACAAGAAAGATGACTAGTCAACTCAGGCAAAATTGACACAGGCAGAACCGGATGACTAGTCAACCACAAACATGATGACTAGTCAACCACAAACATGATCAGAACGAGCATCAAATGCAGAACACCAAGATGACTAGTCAACCGTAAGCATAGATGACTAGTCAACTAAAACAGCATTATGACAAACACCAAATAATATCAACCCTGTGAAAGACATGGTTTTGGTTTCTAAAAACACAAGCATGAACCAGTAAATCAAGTGACCAAGGTGGCATTAGCACAATAGTCTAAACCAAGTCTTCAACACATGAAGAAAAGAGAATGAAAAAGAGGAATAGTTTAAAACCATATGCAGTGGACATAGACAATCAACTCTGAGAGACACGCAATGAGATGCAATTCATGCTCAGAGACAAGGCATATTTAGGAAAGAAGGAGGTTTAGAGCCAAGGGACACAAGAGATGATATCTAATCTCTCTTGGAGAGACACGTACACACTGCATTCTTAAGACATGATCATAGTATGGGCTCACAGCAAAAAATCAGCACTCTCTATGGACAAAATATTTGATGATTGATTTTGTGGTACTTGCACATCCCGAACATAAGTGCTTTGAATGGCCCAATTTTACGGCTCTTTGCTCTAGATTCTTCAATCAAAACACCTTATACCTTCCTAGAGCCATGACTACATTGGTCACACTTCCCTTTTTTTTCTTTTTTTCTTTTTTTTTATATAAATTTTAAATAGATCCCCTAAGAGAGTGAGACCAGCTAAAAGATAATAACAAGAGCAGTCCAAAATGAAGCAGAGAGACGTGGCTCACCAAGAGGACAAGATAGCACAATTTAAGTCTCATCTAATAGCATCTTAAACAAGAAAAGAGATTATGCACAAGTCAGACAAAGCACAAAAACATTCAATCATTCACACCATCAAAAATGAGAGATATGAACAATGACATATCAACATCAAAACATAACAAAAAAATTTGGACTTGACTAGGCAACTACAAGCAAGATGACTAGTCAACTGTTTTGGAATGTGCTGAAGACAAGGAACATACCAGCTAATCAATCAATTGAGCAAAGGCCAATGGACTGCCGAAGTGTAACATGTTTCTGAAAGTCCAAGGCCTTGGTGAGTATATCTGCTAGCTGTTTTTCATAGAGAATAAATTCCAAAGATAAAATTTTGTCTTCCACAAGATCTCTAATAAAATGGTGCGTAATGTCT